TTTATCTACTCCAATAAGTAGTTAATTAAATGATTTTAAATATTAAAGTCGGCTTTTCCCAATTTAAAACCCGATTGGCTCAAATCACAGTAAAAATTGAAATCGATACCTAACAACTTCAATAATGAGTTTATTATTAATAAGAGCAAAATCATTATTTTTTTACGTGTAGTAAAAATAAAAAGTTTTACGCTTTATAAAACAAAATTTAATAAACATAAATTATGTTTCTTGATGCCAATATAAATCCTATTTATTTTTGAATAAAATAAAAAAACAAGGCTTTAGGTTAATTATTAAGGTGAGAAATTAGTTTTGACCAGAAAAGTAGTATTCCAACCAGAGATATAGATATATCTCTGATTCCAACCCACCCTGTACAGCAAAGAAACCTTAACAATAAAGGAGATACAAATTCAGTTGATAACATTTAGAAACATGTATATGCATCAGGGTGTTTCACAATAAGGCAATATTTTTCTTTTTTCAAATTCATGTAAAATTTTCGTCACTAATGCTAAAAAAATTTTTTTTTCAAAATTTGAGCTCTTAATATTAATTTTAAAAGGTCCATCATCGAATTTAAAGTTTTCCCATTGATTTAACATGGAAAAATAGTTTTTTAAGATTTATTTCGCCTGCATGCTATGTAGAACTTTTTTTTGATAAACAATCACTGGTCCTCTTTAAGCATTAAATTATCTACAAAAAATCTTACAAAGTCCAGTCTGTAGATTCAACTGTTTCTTTTTTATTAACGTTGAAACGTATAAATTCTAACAAAAATTGATATTTTTACATTTAGCGACTAAACTACAAATCGTAGAAAAAAAAGTCAATTAGCAAATTCGTTTGTCTCAATTTTTTTTATCATCTACAGTTCAAAAGTGTCTAAAATCTAATTTTCATGATTATGCATCCTATACAGGATGTTATGTAATTAATGTTATATATTAAAATTGGTTGTTCCTTACCTTCCATAAAGAAGCACCTGAAACTTTTTTTTTCTAAATTCCAAAGTCTAAAAATAATTTATAATAACGTTTATCCTACCAAAAAGTACGCCACTGATCGACTAGGAACTTTAGGTTAATCTGGTGGATTTATTATGTTATGGTTGGTAACCACAGTTTTTCCAAAATCTCTCAAAAAAGTTGACAAACATTGTTTAAATTTAGCTTAATTACAAAAATGACAAAATTAACAATGCAAATTGTCAATTTGGCGTTTTTATTAATTGTTGGTTATTTCATTTTTGTACTGAAGGTAATTTCAAACAAAATCTGCCAACTTTTATGACAGAATCTAGTGCATTTAAATTTTAGGTATTTGTTTTCAAATTGTAAATATCTTAACTAAGGGAAGTGCTTTTGGATTTATTTACACAAATTAAATGTTTAAAGTTTAACCTGTGAACTGGTCCCAATTTCATCTGAGTAAACAGAGAAAAAAACTGATGAAAAAATTAATTTTGTGGTTATGGATTTCAAATTTCAAAGGTACTAAATTTTCTAATCATTGCTTAAGCTAATATCTGGATCAGTAAATAAATACAGAAGGGTATTAGAGCTTTAAGGGCCTAAAACTTTTGTATTTATTGAGTTTTTATTTATTTTTTGCAAGAAAAATTTTTAGTAACAATTTTTTACATCTGGCAACGCATAGCTACTTTGTTGGTTGGTATCTATGTACTCACAAAATACAGGTGTGCAGAGATAAACAAGTGTGTAACCAGTGGCGTATCACAAAAAATATAAAAAACTTCTAATGCATATTTTTTCTTTATCTTTGGAAAAATGTTTTTTTAAATATTTTTCCTTTATTCCTTATGTCAAAAGGTATTCAGTATTTTAATATATAACATTTATTACATAACACCCTGTATTATTAAAAAAAGTTTAGGGACAATTTTGCAAAAATTGTTTAAAACAAATTTGTAGAGCAATAAAAGATCTTTAAAATTGCTAATTAACTTTTTCTTCTACGATTAGTAGGTACTTTAGCCGCTATATAATTTATACGTTTCAACGTTAATAAAAAAGATAGAGTTATCAAAAAAAAAAGTTCTACATAGTATGCTGGCGAAATAAATCTTAAAAAACTATTTTTCCATGTTAAATAAATGGCAAAATTTTAAATTCAGTGATGGACCTTTTAAAATTAATATTACAGACTGGACTCTGACTAGTGATAAAAAAAAAGTTCTACATAGCATGCAGGCGAAATAAATCTTAAAAAACAATTTTTCCATGTTAAATCCATGGAAAAACTTTAAATTCGATGATGGACCTTTTAAAATTAATATTAAAAGCTCAAATTTTGACAGAATTTTTTTTCAGCATAAGTGACAAGAATTTCACATGAATTTGAAAAAAGAAAAATATTGCCTTATTTTGAAACACCCTAATACGCACTGATAATGAAACTAATTTTGTAAGCAATTAAGAAAATAATATTATTTAACTTAAATTTAAAATTGTAATGGCTATAAAAAATGTACCACCTAAGGTACCTTTTTTTATTATATTTTCAGTGTCTTATTAAAACAAAACATACGGTTTGACAAAGTAATGAGATTATTTTTATTTACAGAATAAACTTTTTTTACTTTTAATAAAATTCTCATTTACTATAACGAAGCAGCAATGTTGAGCTTCTATAAAAGAAATACTTTATAAAATCTTTGTCGAACTTAAAATGTTTTTGTTAAATCTATAGTTGTGTGTGAATTGCGCTTACATAAAGTAATGCGCAGTTGTTATAGTAAAATTTGTTCATTTTACTATGGCATATTTGTCTTTTTTAAGTTATTATCGATGTAATTTAAATTAATTTTATTTACGTTAGAAAATCTTTGTTAATAGCTTACGTTAGGAGCAATAACAAAAATATTTTATTGCTATAAAAAGACTTTTTTAATATTTACCATGGTTTTGCAATGGTAACAAAATTTTTGTTATTTCCCTTAAAAAGAGGGGGAAAGGACCAGCGCTCTCCTTGGTGAACATATATGTTATAACTTTATAATCCACAGTCTGTGTTATAATCTTATTGATTTCACTTGTGAGAGTGAAGTGTGGTAAAATCTAGCATGACAAAAATATCAAAAAGATCACTAAGAAAATTAAAATTTCGACGTTTTCTAAAAGAAATATTTAAGGTCTATTCTATAAACGAAAAAGTGAGTTCATATTTTTTTATTTTGTACATCATATAATGAGTTCAGTTTTTTGTTATAATAAATAATTTGTTTTAATGCCTTGCAATTATTAAAAAAAAAAAAACTACCCAACACCCGACTGTAGGTTGAAAATATGACCATTGTTACAATGAAAATAGTTTATCAAAGTTTCTATGAACGATTTTGTAAACGGTACTGTTTTTTGGACAAATAATAATAACTATATTTATCAATGCGTTTCTGCATCTGGAAGAGTGTTATTTTTATAAACATAACGTAAATTTACTTTATAATTAATGCAAATGCTATTATTGAAAGCAGCGTTGGTAGATAAATAATTTTTATAAAAATGATCTTTTTGCCGTAACAAAAGCAATTGTTGGACGAATCACGGTGGATTTTTAGGGTCAATTTTCGGATCATCAGGCAACCACGGTTTTTATAAATCGATTAAATGCCTGTTATAGACAATAAATACCAAAAATAAAAAAAATCTTTCGGTTTTTTTGTTTTTATTAATAAAAATAATATAAATGGGTCTAATTTTACTTTTTAGGTTATTTTGCAAAAAGTATAAATTTTATCGAAATTCTGTTTTAACAGAGATATAGAATATTAAATTTTCTACAAAAAAGGTTATAAGCATTTTCTTTGTAATATATATACTTTAGGAGTAATATCCGTACAAATTGCATTTGCTGGTTCTTGTAATTGGAATTACATTGACACATAAAAGTGGATAAAGTTTTTACATTATAAAGTATTTTTTTATATATTTTTTATTGTAAAGTAGAAATTAGAAAGGGCCTAAGTGCCAAAAATAAAGTTTTGAGATAATCGAAAAAAAACTAAATAAAACTAAGCACCTGCATCCCTCGACATACTTGACCGGCTAGTAAATTGTAATTTTCTCAATTAGAATTTTTCATAGGTTGCAAAGCATGGCATGTAAAAAGCCTTTTCTTATTTCTTCTCTTCAATTATATATAATAATACTTAGAATTAATAATATTTAATTAAGTCGAAAAAACGTAATGTATAATACAATTTTAAAATAACTTTTCTTATTTTAATAGGTAATTTAACTTAACTCTTTGGTTCTTACCACTTAAAATCTTGAAAAACCTTTTTTTCGGGTTTTGACCGTGTACAATGTACGTTCTGTGTTCCTATGTTTTGTCTTATTTTATTAGACATCTTCATGGATCTTGTAGTAACTTTGAAAGATAAATTACTTCAACACTGTCAAAACCCGAAACATAATTTAAAGTAATTTTAAAAAACTTATCTACAGAAAGGCCGACCAACAAATTTTTTTCCCAAAAAAGCAAAACATTTATTTACTAAAACTACGTTTAAAAATTACAGGAAAGCAAATATGTTAATAACCTTTTTTGTAGAAAATTTATTATTCTATATCTTTGTTAAAACAGAATTTTGATAAAATTGATACTTTTTGCAAAATAACCAAAAAAGTAAAATTAGACCCATTTATATTATATTTTTCTTAATAAATAACAAAAAACCGAGAGATTTTTTTTATTTTTGGTATTTTTTGTCTATAACAGGCATATAATCGATTTATAAAAAAAAAACCTGATGATCCGAAAATTGACCCTAAAAATTTATTAAGAACACTAACTGCACGTTACCTCAAAATGTATTTTTATACAATGTACAATGTACATTGTACATGTTAAATGAAATCATTATTTTAGTTTTTAATACCAAAATATTTAATTTCCAGGTTAGAATAAAACCAGAATATATCCTTGTAGGTAAGTAAACAAAAAACTGTTTACCTAAATATTAGACCTACCTTTTAATCGCAAGTATCAGCGGTCGACCAAACGACGCAAGGCCAAAAAAGTTTTCCTTCGAAAAAAGTCTAAAATTCAAATCGTGCGGGCATGTCACAGAACGCGCGTAAAGACGTCGACGCGAACGCCAGTAACAGCAGCACAAAAAACACGACGGTGCTTGCACACGAACAGAACGGCGCCGACTGAACGCCGCTGCGAACCGACATCGATTTTAAACAAGTTTTGACGTCGCGGCGCCGTGCGCCACCACACTGTTGCTCCTCCAGGTGCTTCAGGTAATAATCGTGAAACTTTATGGATAATTCCCCGACTCGACCCAGACATTGTTTCATCTGGTGAGGCGCCTTTTTTGCCTAATTTTTTGCCCACCCCGAACTCGCAGATCCTTTTAGTTGTTGCATTATGCAGCATTCAATTTTGAAGTTGTCATCAAACTAGAAGTTAACATACATTTTTATATAGCAATATAGCAATGAAGAAGCCAAATTTAAAAATAAAAATAGTGTAATAGTGTTCTCGAATAAAAGCAAAAAAGCCACAGCCAATACCGAGATCTCTCTACAAAGGTAGCATTTAGTGCTTATTAACTTTATTAAACACATTTAAAGAATATGAACATTATTCATTGGTACATTCACACTATTTATTATTAAAATAAATCAAAAGGGTAGAAAAACTTAATGCGAGTGTTTATTACCTCTTAATGTGTTAAATAGCGACAAAATGTGCACTACAGTGCATGCCAATTTCTTTGTCTGTTTTGATGTTACTAAGAGCTCTTTTTTCTTTACACTACTAGCCCAGCTTACAAAATTGATTATGTAAGTGTTGTTAGAACTGCTATACAACACATATTATAGAAACGCTAAAATTGTATAATGCGTTTAAAAACTACTATACAACACTTACTCAACCAAAAAGGGCCCCGTTTTATAAAACAGTTTACTTCGTTAGCAGTTATATAAATACACTACACAACCCTTATAAAACTCAGTATCAGTATACTGGGGAACTGCTATACGATTATACTACAGCGGTTTTACTCTGCAGCTTAATTGCACTTTACGAAAATTTATAGAATATTAAAACAAGCATTTTATAAGTATGTTATAATGCGACAGAATCGTTATAAGAACATCAATTTGTTTCCTTCTCTAGAAATTAGGAATGGAGTGGGAAATTTTTATCCTAAGACTATTTTATAATGCGAATTATGTTGGATGTCAAACGGCTAAGATCCAAAATGGTGCTTGTTGTTTATTATGTAAATATAATTATTAAACCTTTGAGATTTACGCTATCGAGGACAACATCTTCTTGCGGAGCAATCTTTTCTGACAATATATGTATATATTTTTAACGAAAAATTAAAGCGCCAGTTAACAAACATACCTACTAAAAATTATTTAAAAAAAAAAAATAATTTTTTATTTGACAAAGTTTCATGTTTTTTAAGAATATTATTGTTTTATTTGTTCAGTTTATAATTGACTAGTCTTAAGATTACATTAATTTTTTTCAAGAAAATTCATTTTTAATTGACAGTTTTAACGTTTGTTGGTAAAATTCACACAATGGCGGCGATTTATAAACAATTGATCGGTCAATAAATATGGCGTTTTTGTTATAAAATGGTTTTGCCTTTATAAAAACGTTATACAATTTATCTGCTCTGTCGCGTGCGTTATACGATATTTAGGTTCTGTAAAGTTGTTTAATACAGGCGCTATAAAAGTAAAGCAAGAAACTGACATTTGAGATGTTGCCAGATTTTATCTGTATTTTTCAAATTATTTGTTTTTTTTTAGAATAAAATACTCATTTTTGGTGCAGTTAGGTACATCAAGTAAAATTTTATTTATCCTGCACGACGTTACCTTCATTTTTTATGCAAATAAGGATTTGTAGGTAACACTGCTGCCTAAAATAACAACCCTGTAAGTTCATTTTTCGTATTGGCTATAACGCCTTTGCCTACTGCGCAATAGAACAATAATAATAATAATCGCTTAAGGTATGCATTGTACCGCACTATACAATTGTGTTCTGTTTTATCCACTTTTTAGCGGTACCTTCTTTATCTACATGTGACCTAACCTATTTTTATTTTTTTTTAAATGCCCACTTTTCTTAATTTTTTTCCATTGCGACTCCATTTTAAAAAAATACTTAACTTATTTTGGCGTAATAAGACACTAAATGTATAAACAGACTTAAGTAATAAAATTATAACGCAGAACTTGCGATAATTTTATTTTATAAACTTTCTATAAAGAAGTTAATCGGTGTAGTTATAGGATAATTATAAAATAACTTTATACTTATTGTGTAGTGTGTTTACTTCTGCTTAAAAAAACATTTTTTTAATGTATCTTATAGAGCTTCAATACAACTTTTATACAAATTCTATTACAACTATCATAAAACGTTGAAACTACAAGTATAAGAATAGGTATACAACTCTATTATAACTTTTATACAACTCTTTTAAAATAATTTTATAAGGGATTGTATAAAACGTTATACAATGGTTAAAAAATGTGTATGAGTTTGGTTCTATAACACGAGTTGTAAGAATATATATACAAAATGTATTAGAATTTCGTCGTTTTTACGATAAAATTATTGTATTAAGACGCATTAAACAATAAAAATGTTCTTTTTGCAGCTCTAGACGATAGTTATAAAACAATTCAGTTCTTTAAGGGATTTATTTTGCTAGTTGGGAGTGCACATTGTATCATAATTAAAGTTAAATTACACAAATTGTGTTTAAATAGACTGAAAAAACTGGTAATAACCGAAATGCGTTTTAAAATGTTTGGTTGGTACCTATCTACCCATACAGTGCATACCCGGAGATACCGCGTTGTGGATGTGTGGCATTTTTGTTCAGTTAGATTTTAATTACGGTGAATCCATAAGAGGACATTCTTATTTTTTGGTAAGTATTATACTTCCTTTTTCTTTAAGCCTTAATACTCAATATATTTATAAATACCAATATGTTAAAAGGATGTCCATACCCAACCTATATTATATATCAATAATTTACGGCAGTAGGTCGGGTACTTGTAACATTAATAATATAAATACATACACATTTGATTTACTTTTTATTTTCAAGCGTAATGGTTGTTATATTAACCTATACCTATATTTTTATTAATATTATGGAAAATTTGTATACGTGTGGTAAATCCCCGACATACAGCCGCCTGACGCCTCTCTACCAATGGGATCACTCATTTTTTATAACAGGAAAATGGATTACTGATGAATTCTCAATATAATTCATTGCTTACAAGTTGACAGCCAGTAAAACATTGCATTGATCTATTTTAAGGAACCATTTTGCTTAAGTTGCCGTTCGACTCAAATATAAAATTATATTTTAAAAGGCACCGATTTTGATAATTGTCATAGATTTTTGTTCCAAATAAATGTTTCTCTTTATTTACCTTTTCGTTTTATTCACTACCACCAATAGGTTTTACTCAAATAATAGTGTTAATTAAAAAAATGTTATTTTACATAAAAAATATAAATGAGTTACACGTCAATTATGCTATTACATTTTACATGTAAAATAATAATGAAATGGAATATTTCAGTTATCAACAAGGCATCAAAATAACCAATCTCCATTACCGGAAATTTACATGATTACCATAGTACTGAAATTTTGACTGGAACTATACGTGCATTCACAACTTCGCCGCTTGCATTGTTTTCAAGATGACTGTCGTGCAAAGGGCGGGCTCTGTAGGTAATTCTTAACCAAAACTTGAGTTAAAATGAGGACGTTTAAATTTCAATATTTCGAGGAATTTTGAATTTTAACATTGGACACAGAACTGAGAAGTGAGTACAAAGATAATAATTTTTTTAAAAATTGCTATTATTTGAATCTATGATAAAATATAAAAAATACATTATTTAATGTTTTATAGTTTATAGTGAAATTGAAAAATTTAAAATAAATTGAATATATTTTAAAATAAAATCACTCAAATATTTGATTCAGGAGTTGTGACACGTCAAGGTACTGATGTTTTGAATATTTATTATGTTTTTCCACAAACGTGCTTTTGAAAAAATACATTGGACCCTTTCATAAAATGTTGTTTAATAAAAATAATAAGTTAATTTTATTAATTAGATTAAAAATTCGCCACGGCGGGCAAATATATAATAGCCGTCGCAACAAACAGTATACGTAGACACTACATTCAAATGACATTTGATTTAATCATCAAAATTAATTATTACAATTATTAAATGTGATTTCGGATAAAATTTAATATGCACCTCGGCATTAAAGTCATTTTTTATCACGTGGTTATTTGCCTCAGCTTTCGCCTCGGCAAATAATTTCCACATTCGTGATAAAAAATACGACTTTACTGCCTTGATACATAAATAACTATTATTAAATAAAGGATCGTTCTTAAATTAAGTGAACATATTTTTTCTTTTGAAATCCATAAAATTTTTCAATTAAAAACTCAAATAAGATTTTAATTAAATATATTAACTATTTGTATTTATATTGCAATACCACTATGGAATTTGGAATTATTAATTTTAATATTTGAAGGTAAGTTTTATTTTTCCTATTTAATAATAAAGGGCAACGGGAATAATATGAATATGAAGCATCAGTTACCTCGTAAAGTACGAGTTCAACTGACATTTAGATCTGAAAATCATGAAAATAATTGACAATTTAGAAGGACCAAACTGTCCGTTTCAAACTTAAAAGTTATAACGTTTACTCGTTAGCGTCAATGTAAATGTTCTTTTGCTGAAAAAAAACAAAAAGCATTTTTAAAAACCTAAATTTTAACCTCGTCACTTCGTTTGATACGTGTTCCTCACCAGGCACCGACAGACTCTGTTTCGGCCTTTTGGGCCTCATCAGTGTCGGGTAACAAAAATTATATTGATAATAATTTAATTACTTTTCATATTTTATTGTGTTTGTTTTGCATGTCAGTCGATATACAGTGCAAATGATGCTGATTGCGACACCCACGTCCATAAACGTCTCGATATATTTAATTTCGTTATGAAAAATATCACGACTCGCCTGCTTTAGCATTCTAAAAGGACATGTGTTTTTCGAAAGGTAAGCAAATATGTTTGAAAATTGTGAAGTAGGTTGAATAAAAATAGAAATGCAAAAAAACACGGCACACTTTTTATTTAATTTTTCTCGTAATGTTTATGGGTGATTCTACAAAATTTGGGCAACTTTTGACCTCATTTTGTTT